AGAACTCTTCTTTTCAAGATTAAATGATGAAGGAATAAGTGATAAAGATTACTCACATGCTCAAACTGTATGGAAAGAGTTTTTTTGTAAAACATTTAAAGATTATCATAATTTATACATTGTTTCAGATGTGTTATTATTAGCTGATGTCTTTGAGAATTTTAGAGATGTATGTATGAAAAATTATAAATTAGATCCTGCTTGGTACTATACTTCACCAGGATTAGCTTGGGATGCAGCATTGAAAATAACTAAAGTAAAATTAGAGTTACTAAGTGATTATGACATGATTCTTATGATAAAGCAAGGAATAAGAGGTGGAATTAGCATGATTTCTAACAGACTAGGAATTTCTAATAATAAAGATATGGAAACCTTTGATGAAAGTAAAGAATCTACTTACATACAGTATTTAGATGCAAATAATTTATACTGATGGGCAATGAGCAAACCCCTTCCAATACATGAATTTGAGTGGATGAATGAAGAAGAGTTAAAAAATTGGAAATCTATTTCTTGTATATTTGAAGTAGATTTAGATTATCCTGAAAATTTACATGATTTGCATAATGATTATCCGCTTGCTCCTGAAAGATTTAAAATAGACAGAGTTGATAAGTTAGTAATTAATTTAAATCATAAGAAAAACTATATCATACACTATGAAAATTTGAAACTGTATGAAAGACTAGGATTGAAATTGACTAAAATTCATAGAGGAATAAAGTTTGAAGAAAGTGCATGGTTAAATAAATACATTGAGCTCAATAAAAATTTGAGAACAAAAGCTACTAATGACTTTGAAAAAGACTTTTTTAAATTCATGAACAATTCTGTATTTGGAAAAACAATGAAAAATATTCAAAACAGAGTTGATGTCAGATTAATCACTAAAAGAGAAGAAGCTATAAAATTGGCATCAAAACCAAACTATGAAAGTAGGACTCTATTTGATCAAAACTTAACTGCAATCCATATGAAAAGAACAAAACTTAGATATAATAAACCTATTTACTTGGGTATGTGCATCCTAGATTTGAGCAAAACACTCATGTACGAATTTCACTATGATTACACAAAAAATAAATATTCAGATAAAGCTAAACTGTTATTCACAGATACAGATTCATTAGCCTATGAAATAAAAACAAAAGACTTTTATGCAGATATTGCAAATCACATTGAAAGTAAATTTGATACAAGCGAATTTGACAAAAATCATCTAGCTGTTCAAAATGTATTTAAAGTAGGTATGAATAAGAAAGTATTAGGAATGTTTAAAGATGAATCTGCAGGAAAGCAAATTGAAGAGTTTATAGGACTTAGATCAAAATTGTACTCTTACAAAATAGATAGAGAAGATAAAAAGAGATGTAAAGGAGTAAACAAAAATGTTGTTAAAAAATGTATAACACATGAAGATTATTAAGACTGCCTTCTAAGTAAGAGAGATCTAATGAGAAAAATGAATGTCATAAGATCTCATTTACATGATGTTTATACAGAAGAAATAAACAAAATAGCACTCAGTGCAGAAGACGATAAAAGAGTTATATTAGAAGATGGTATACATTAGCATATGGACATTATAAATTAGTTCCTATGGATCCGAAGGATCTAAATATAGAAAGCGAAGTATTGGTTCCTTCGGAACCTAGCGAAGTCTGGGTCCCAAAGAGACCTAAACCTAACTTTTCATTTCAGATTGATTTTAATTGAAGTAATAGTATTTGAAATAAATAAAAAAGCAGGCAGACAGACATAAATAAAAAACAGGTAAGTCATTTTTTATTTAAAAAATCTCAAACTATTAAAAAAATAAACGAACATATCAATGTTAAAGGAATCATTTTACCAAATGAACCACTAACAAACTTTCAATTAATAAAAGCAGCAAAAAAATTAAAAATAAAATATACATATATATACATATATATTGCTAAAATATACATATATATTGCTAAATATACATATATATTGCTAAATATACATATATATTGCTAAAAGCATTATGAAGATTATATACAAAATCAAAGTTTAGGTATCATTCCCAATACAAGTTTAACGTGCTTTGAACAAAAATCTCAAGCATTCTATGCAACTCCAGGATCATACACTCTTTTTAGCTATAGTGGTAGTTCAGGAATTCTAAAAAAACTGTGGATTGCATTTACAGGATCAACTATTGCACCTTATACTGTACCAGGTAACTTATTTTTAAAAATATATGCTGATAATGTACTTTGCATAGGTAATGATTCTATTGTAAAATATGATGAAGGAATTAATAATACAACTTTAGCTTGTGATTTAATAATTGCACCACTTGGTGGACCCTATTATGCAAACTCTTTACAAGGATGTAATGTATCTAGTACTAGTGCATTAGGAGGATATTTTACATTTGATCTTCCTTTTATATCAAGTTTGTATATACAATTATACAATAAAACAGGCAATTCAGTGACCTTCTGGTTACAACCTTTTATCACAAGAACTTCATCGTTGCAACAAACATTAACTAGTATTAATCCGCTAATACCTCGATCCATCTCATCCATTAAGTTGTACTCATCAACATTTAGATATGTAAATACAACTTATGGTAGTGAATATATGCTAATGAATGCTATAGATAGTGGAAACGGAGTGTATTTGAAATACATTAGAATGCATGTTGTTGGAGGATCTGGAAACTGGTGGGAATCTAGAGTACGTATATACGATGGATATGCCGACCCTACCAATACTAACTCTGTCATTCAACCTTGGACACCCTATAATAATAATGGATATACTACATTTTCTGGATATGATGTTAACAGTCGATGCATCTACCCTTCATCAGGTTTAGAAGATTTTTATCTCTCTCCATGGAATGGATCTAATATAAGCTTATTTAATAATACATCATCAGGATTACTTTATCAATCAAGTAGTGTAATTGGTCCAACAACTACAATTTCATTTTATAGAAACTTTGATTCATCTGAAAGTATGCCTAGCGTCAGTAGTGGTAGAAGAATGGTAGTGACACTCAACTTTGGTGACGCACAAGTTGGACAATCTGGAAGCTTTGCTGCATTAATAGGACAATGCTACTATTATGCTTAAGCGCTACTACGCATAAGCGCTATTTTGCTTAAAAAATGACGCATGCGCACTGACAAGTCACGTGACCAGTGACGTCACACAAGAAAATTTCGTGACAACAAGAAACGAAATTGACACTGATTTTTAAATTTAAAAAATTGATTTTTAGTTAAACAGTTTATATACAAAATGAACCATATATTTAATTAAATATATGGTTGAAAATGAAAATGAGCCAGAATTCCTACTACAAGTTAAAAAATGAACCTAAAATAATATTTAAATTATGGTTGAAAATATGGTTAAAAATGAAAATAAGCCAGAACCGGCATATCCTATCTACTAACTTCTTCTTGAACAGTTTACCTTACCTTCACTTTCCTATTTAAACAAGATAAAAGATGGTAAAATTGATTCATTAAAAGTTGCAAAACTCTTGATGGAAAATATGTCTTCATCAAAGGATATTAGTTTGATTGTTTGTAATATCAATAGTTACAATTTCTTTGTCGCAGTCAGAAACGCTCAAATCATTCCTAAAACAATACTCAAAATTTTTGTGAGCATAAATTAATACTCTACCGCCGCGTTATTTGTTTTTCTTTCCATAGAAATAGTATTAAAATGAGGAATAACAAAATTACTACTTATTTCATCTACTGTGATCCAAGTTTCAGTTAAACAAATAATATTAAAAATGCGTTAAGTTTCTTCTTATAGATTTAAAAATTTTTCAAAGTTGCATTTCAAACTCCTTATATTAAGGTGGAGAATTACAATTTGATTATTACTTTTTTCGCGAGCATTCTTAAAAAGAAACCCTTCTTAGTTAGTTTGGAAAATGATATGAACAATCGGATAAAATACGGCGACAGCGCTCGAAATAGTTTTTTAAAACTTGCCGATCAAATGTAATTTTTTGACAAAAACAGCTTATTTTCCCTTGAATTTTTCTAAATTTCTCTAAAAATAGCCGATCATTGATCGTTGATCGGCTGTTATTTCGAGCGCTGTTGTGATAAGAATTATTTTCAGGGTCTAGGTTTTCTGCTGAAGAAAAGAGATTTGTTTGATATAAATTAAAAAAAAGGGTTATTAGCCATAGCCATGATAATAAATAGAGAAAAAAAAAGGATTTCTTTTTAGGAGTACTAGTTATTTGTAAAGATTGATTTTAGAATTATTATTAAGATAAATAATTTAGTCATATCTTACCGTTACATTCTCACCATTTTAACGCCTTTGTTTAACTTCCGCAAATAACTTTTTCCGAATAGCAACGGTCTCACGAGAAAAGTGTTCGTTAATGAAAAAACTCGTGCCTTTTAGTCGATCTTTCAAGATTCTTACTTTGTCTTTTTGCAGGTTAAGTACTATTGTCCTCGGTCGTCCACTTTTCTTTAATACAGAGAATTAAAAAAAAAAACATATGGATTACTTTACATTTTTTCAAATGTAAAGTAATCCAAATTTTTTTTTTTTAAATTCTTCTCGTGGTAAAATCGCGCCCGCTCTTGTTGAATGCTTGCGTTGAAAAGCGTTGTTTCTTGTTGAAAGCTTGCGTTTTCAATTTAATGTTAAGGGATTCAACTCAATACTGAGTTGAATCCCTTAATATTAAATTGTATATAAAAATTAAATCTTTGAATTTTTCTTTTAGGTTCTCTCTTTTTGTCAGAAAAAAAAAAAAAAGAAAAAAAAAAAAAAAGGAATATCCGGTATTTATCATTAACCAGGAGTTATTACCTGGAGCGGATAATTTATTTAAGTTTTTTTTTTAGTTAAATTTACCGCTTAGTTTTTGAGTAAGTCAAAAATTGAGCAATTATTCAAATTAAAAAATATATAAAACAAATTTCTAAATAATTTGAAACATAATATTGTTTTATTTTTGCAAAAAAAAACTATTTTACAGAACATTATATTAAAATACTCTAAAATTTATACATCAAGTTTAACATTTTGAATAATACGATTCGTGAATACAGCTGTACTACAACTTCCACCCATATCCATAGTTAAATACTAAAAATCAATTTTACAAATATTTTAAAATACTCAAATGTAACAGAATATAATAAACTATTAAACTATTTAAAAATACAACAAACAACAAATACCTTTCTTTCACTGATGGTTTTAATAACTGCGTCACGGATCATGCGAGAGTGTTTTCTAAAACTATAAACACGTTTTCTTAACTCAGGCTTTTTTTAATAAAGTCTCCAAATTTGTAAACGATCATACATATTTAGGGTAATTAGGGTTGAAGTGGACAATTGTTAAAGTAGTTTTGTTTTCAGGCTCTCAATCTCCACTATTTTTTTCTTCACCATTTGACAAAAATATGAATTTATTTTTACATCACTTATTCATGATTTTTTGATTCATGCATTGTGCAAATTCCAAACTTAACTATATTTATGCCTATGCTAATTAGAGATGCTTTGTTAAGGCGAGTTTCCACTCATCCGTTTTTCAACGGGAACGGGATAGGAAAGGAAAAAATAATCACGTGAGCATGCACAGTGAGCCATAAAGACCATCAAGTTCGAATTCTCACCACCTCTAATTTTTTTTTTTTTTAAGTAAATTTAGTTTGTATAAGTGTATTTTAAGTGCAAATAAAATCTGAAGTTGATCAGAAGAGTTTGTAATTTAAGTTTTAAAACAGTAAAAAAGACTAAAAATTTAGCTTTAAAAACGAGGTAATCCACCATTTTTGACTTCTTTTTTTTTTAAATAATTTTGAAGTGATAAGGAGATAAAGATAAAAAAGCGGTAAAAATGGCTGATTTGAAACAATCTGTTTGTGCAGTTTGTTTGGAAAAAAAAGGCGAATATTCAAAATCACTATCAAAAGTACAAACATCCATAGCAAATAAAATCAAGGAGTATATTTGGCCTGAGTACAATGAAGAATTTACTGTCTGCCCTGACGTAATTTGTTCAAATTGTAGAAGAAACATCTTTTTGCTGGAGAAAGGATCAAGCACTTATCTGTCAAACTGGACGAGTAAAGTTTCTCAAGTATATAGTTTATAATTTAATCAAGTTAAATCATTAATACATAAATAATAGAAATTTTTAATAAGTTTTATATTTTTGCTGCTTTTCTCTCCTTGCAAAAGGTTTATGAATAAAGATTAAATTACTTGATAAGTAAATTAAAAGTTGTCAAATATTCATTTATAAACTTCAATGAAAAAAAAAAATTCTTTAAGGTTAATAAGTGTATATTAATTTAAGAGCTAATTTTATTTTTCAGGAGGGCATAACAACTGTTGTTCTAGTCAGGCTGTTTTGAACCTAATTAATTTGTCAGAAAACTTTGGTCCCACATCATGCGAGCAAGTTGCTTCAGGCATAACTAAAAACAAGATGGAGCGAGAAAGCATTGAGAGGCCAGTCTTTTAAAACATCTACAGGTATGTAAGTTTTTATTTTCATTATATAATTGTTGAAAAAAATATTAATATGTTCATATAGAACTCAAAAGCACATATAAAATGCTTAATAGATATAAGGCTTATTATTAAGCAATTATTTTGACTGCTAACAACTTTTGGAAACATTTGCATTGTAAATTAAGTTAAGGATAAGTTTAAAAAAATATATAATTTAAATATTGTTTATTTATAAGGTGGGAATTCATTATCTTTAACTGTTGGAACTAAAGACAATAAATCTTCAAGAAAATCTTTCAATCAGATATCATTCCAAACTGTGATGGAATTAACTTCTATACTGAAATTGACAAAAAATCAAACAAAAAAATTGATATCTAGTCTGCGTAAGAATCTGGGATCATCTACTGTTGTTGAGAACAATGTAGTTAGCATGATGTCATCATTACAACAAGAAATTGAATCTAAATATAAAATAGAACAAGATAATTTTATTTGGATTGATGAAACTGTCACAAGAGATATAGTATTTATTCATGATACTTCTGAATTTATTCTTAGTATTTTAACGGAAAGAAGCTTGGATCCTCTCTCCAGTATGGTACGTATATCCATTGATGGAGGTCAAGGATTTCTTAAAGTAATTGTAAATGTCTTTGATAAGGCCAATAAAAATGAGATGTATATTGACAGTGGAGTTAAGAAGTGTTTTATTCTTGTTATTGTTGAAGATGTTTCTGAAGACAATGGAAATCTGCATAAAATCTTGAGTAGATTAAATCTAGGTGACGTTACGTATTACCTTGCATTTGACTTAAAATGTGCTAACAGCATCTTCGGTTTATCTTCTCATTCCGGTAAATATGCCTGCTTGTGGTGTGAAGGTGAATGTTCCCTAGAAAGTGGTACTCCCAGAACGTTAAGTTCTCTTGATCATTGGTACAAGTTATTTGTTGAAAATGGGGCAAAGCAATTGCAGATGAAAGATTTTAAAAATGTGATTAGTCCTCGTCTTGTTTATTTTGATACAAATCCTGAAGATGAAATTAATCACATAGTTTTACCACCAGAATTACATCTTCTTATGGGGATTGTAACGATACTTGGTAGACTACTTTTAGATCATTGGCCTCTGTTTACAAATTGGCTCAAAGAACATTATATTTTACTCCGAGGTTATCATGGGATAGGCTTTGATGGCAATAATGCCACAAAACTTCTAGAAAAAGTAGATATTTTAGAAAGAGATGTTTTAGCATCTCAAACTAATTTAATACATATTGCTCATTGCCTCAGAAAATTTTCAAAGGTTAAAGAGTGCACATTTGGACAAGAATTAGGCAGCAATGTTTCTTCAGTTATTGAAGAGTTCAAGATATCATTTTTTGACCTACAGCAGTATGCAAAAATACATTTAAATGCAGAGCTGAATGTTACATGGAAAGTGCATATAGTTGCTTGCCATATTCTCCCGTTTGTGAAATTCAATTCTTGTTCTCTAGAATCATATACCGAACAGACTGGAGAGGCTGTTCACAGTGCCTTTAAACCAAGTTGGTCTCAATATAAGCGAAGGATTGGGCATACAGATTATGGTAAACGATAAAAATCTGCTACAGCCACTTTTTGCTTAGATAAGTTGTAAATATTATAATATATAAGTAGTTGTGTTAATATTTTTATTGCATTTGTTTTTTTTTTCCTTCTTATTACTATAAGGGACTATGGTGTATTAGAAGTTTAAATCATTTTAAGTTAAGAATTATAATAGGTTATATTTTATTTTAAGGAGGATGAATAAAGGATATTGATTTTGAAAATTTTTTTTAGGGATTATTATATCCTTTAAGGGGGTAACTATTGCTTTAAGGGGGTAAACAGGGTTAAAAAATTAAGTTTTTTTTGTACTTCTGATCTACTTTAGATTTACCCAATACAAAAAAATAAGATATTTAAGCAGCATTTATATTTATATGAAAAAAAATTAGAGGTGGGGAGAAGTTGAACCTGGCGGTATTTATGGCACACAGTGCATGCGTAATAAAAGTTTTTATTTGTCCGAAAGAAAACTGCGCATGCTCACGTGATTTTTTTTCTGCTCCCTTTCCCTTTCCCATAGAAAAACAGATGAGTGGAAACTCACCTTTAAAAGTCGCGATGACGCAGGCCTAAGAACAAAAATACCCCAAAACGTTTTTTTCCCCTGCCCAAACGCGAGGGCAGTGATGTAGTAAAATTTTCAACTTAACTATCTTATAGTAAATTTAAATTCATCAACAGGTTTTAAATTTTATTCAAAAATATTGCAAAATTCAAAAGGTATGACCATGCAAAATTATCTACAAAATTGAAAGAAAAATGATATCAACTTGTGTATGCATGCATGCATATATATATATATATATATATATATATATATATATATATATATATATATATATATATATATATATATATATATATATATATATATTTCAAAATGGGGCAAGTTGGGAGCAGTTAAATTTTTTCAAAGGTAAAAAGTCCTAGCTCTATAAAAATCAGTTTAAATTCCTTAAAACTGCATTTTTTACAATACATATTCAAATGTTTTTATAAAATAGAATTATCTATTACCTTTGTACGTAATAAAATTTAAAATAAAAGGTTTTGTATTATGGGAGAAAATTAAGTCTTAATAGTGATAAAATTTCAATGATGAAAAAAAAATGCTGTTTTTGGTCGCTTTTAAACATATATTAAAGTTAAATTTCAGTATTTTTTTTTAAAGTTATAATCATAAGGAGCTGTAGAAAATAATAGCTAATAACTTTATTTAGATTCCACTCAAAAAAATTTTTTTTCTAAATATTAAGTGTTTCTAAATCACTGTGGACCTGTAATTATTAAAATAAAAATTACAAACAAAAAATCTAATAAACAAAAGTATTTTAAAATAAGAAATATATTTATAATATACAGCTGTGGCCATAAGTTTAAATTCACTTTAAAAAATTGGATTTAAACTTATTACAATTATAAAAATAACAAACAATATTCTTTAAATATGTAATATTCGGGCTAAATCAGTAAATTGGTTTTAAGTAAGAATTGTGGAATTTTATTTTATTACTGGGATTACCATTAGTCTCGATTTTGTAATAAAAACCTTTCACAGTGCAGATCTATTTAAACAGTTAAAAAGTATTAATAATGATTTTTTTTGTGAAAATTTTATTGAATAATATTTTTTGTTGAGGAAAATGGGGAAATGATGTGAACTTAATGAAGGAATACAAGGGCAGATTGTTTTCAGTGCAGTGCAACTAACTTTAAAACGGTACCAAGTTTTTGAGTCTTATAAGTAGATGTCAAACTGAAAAAAAAAACTTCAGCTCAAGAAGACCAAATGATATCACAAATGGCTTTAGAAAATCGTCATAAATCATCTTTGATGCTATCAAATGACCTTGCTGAGGCAATAGGAGCCAATACTTCTGCACGAACTGTAGGAAGATAGGGTGGCCAGCAAAATACTTTTGTGTGTGTTTATATATATAGACACACACAAAAGTATATATATAGGTTATCAAACACTTCTATTAAATCTCTTTCTTAGATTGCTCAAGTTTTTTTATTGAAATATCAAGCTCTTTAAATAATTGCCGGTTCTTTTTCTAAAATTGTGTTTCTAAAGGAATTTTCTTTCAATTTTTACTTTTCTTCTGCTTCAAACTGATGTTGACAATAGGGATGGCAAAAATCCCGGAAATTTTCAATCCCGGGATTTCGGGA